TTGGGATATTTTATATTTACCCTTATTGGGTCTAAGAGGACCATATCTAGGAATATTTTTCAGAGGGTTTGAAGGGCCACCCTAGTCTAGCTCCATGAAGCCACGTTAGCTTCGTGCGTAGTCTTGGTTCGGCTTTCTTGGACCACGTACGCCTGTAGCATCGCCGTGTAGATCTTAATAAAGGGAGATAATTCGGGAGAGTAGAAGACAACGTGTCATAGCAGACAAAAGCAACAGTGTATACTGCAACAGAACATCGCAAGACTACTATATATCTTGGAGTTGAAAACGTTGTACAGTAACAGTAGCCCAATGACATGTACTTGGGGCTTCGGCGTTAGGCGGTCAACCCTGAACCCTAAACCCTAAAACCCCCACAGCAGACCCCGGAGCCGCGGTGACAGGTAGAGAAGCGGGTGGAGCTGCCGGTGGTGGAGCTGCAGGCACCTTCAGCTCACGGGCCTGCGACAAGACGGGAGGGGGGTTTAGGGTTTAGGGTTTAGGGGTTTAGGGGTTTAGGGGTTTAGGGGTTTAGGGGTTTAGGGTTTAGGGGTTCAGGGATTTACGGGCTTAGGGAGTTACGGGTTTAAGGGTTTAGGGGGTTTAGAGTTTTTAGGGTTTCGGGTTCACGGGTTTAGGGGGTGGGAGTCTTCCTTGCGAATTTTTCATGCGGAGTTGTTGGGACTTTGGCGCCTTATATCCCCCCGCACAACCCTTTCAGGGATTGCGCAAGGCATCCTCCATATATATCTATCTATCGAAATGTATGTATACATATATATATGTATCTATCATGATTATTATTCTTATTATCATTATTATCATCGTTATTACAAAATCATTGTTCGTATTCTTAGTATTATTCTGATTATGATTATGATTATGATTATGATGATTATTATGATCATTTTTTGTTTATAACTATTAGTATATAATAACTAAACCCTAACCCTAAACCCTAAACCCTAAACCTAAAACCCCAAACCCCTAACCCCCCCAAAAAAAATCAACAAAAAGAGAGACTAGCTCGAACAAACCCTATACAATGTCGATAAACCTTGAACCCTAAACCCTAACCCCCCAAAAAAGAAAGACTAGCTCGAAGATCTAAACCCTAAACCCTAAACCCTAAACCCTAAGCCCTAATCCCTAAACCCTAAACCCTAAACCCTAAACCCTAAACCCTAAACCCTAAACCCCTAAACCCTAAACCCTGCCCCGCTGCGAGGAGAAGCTCGTTGAAGTGCCCCAGGCCGAGGTCGTCGAGAACCCGGCGGCTTGGCTCAGCTTTGCCAGGGACTCCGATACCCCTTGTTTATTATTACAGACTAATAATGGTAATAATATTAGTAGTAATAATAATAGCAACAATAAGAATAGTAATCAAATTAGTAGTAGTAGTAATAATTATTATTCTGATAGTAGGGTTCCTTGTATGGTTTAAGGAATACATACCCCTTCATGATAGTAGGGTTCCTTTACATGGTTTATGGAATTCTTCCTTAAATTTTTAGTAGGCTTCCCTATATGGGTTTAAGGAATATTCCTTTCATCGTCATGGGGTTCCCTTTTTGGTTTACGGAAGGTTCCTTAATTCAGGGGTGTTGGAGGCTCAGCAGTTGCAACCGAGGAGGAAGCCTGTGCTGAGGGCGTAAAGTTTGGTTATAGGGTTTCGTGTTTAGGGTTTAGGGTCCAGGGTTTAGGGCTTAGGGTCTCGAAGTGTCGGTTTTAGGTTTTAGGGTCCAGGGCTCAGGGCTCAGGGTCTTAAAGTTTCGGTTTTAGGGTTTCAGGGTTTTAGGGTTTTAGGGTTTAGGGTTTAGGGTTTAGGGTTTGGGGTCCAGGCTTAGGGCTTAGGGTTCAGGGGGGCGAAGGAGATCCGCCGCCGGAGGTGGTTATCTTGAAGCGTGGGGGAACCCTATGACCCAACCCCAAACCCTAAACCCTAAACCCTGAACCCTGAACCCCGAACCCTAAACCCTAAACCCTAAACCCCCTCAACCCTGCAACATGACGTGGGGGACGCGTCCTCGAGGTGGAGGTCCCAGAGGTGGAGATCTGCGAGATCATCAAGCAGGCCGCGGCTCCTTAAAAGCCTTAAGAAGCCTCGGGTTTAGGTGTAGGGTTTAGGGTTTAGGTTTGAGGGTTTAGGGTTTTGGGTTTAGGGTATAGGGTTGAGGATTACTGTTCATGGTTTAGGGGCTTCAGCATCTCAAGTCCAAGCATTCACCAGTCAAGCGTTGGAACTGCCCACCTGCCCAAAGAGTCCCATAACATTAAGAAAATTCAATCTTCACTCAATCCGCAAGCGCTAGGGACACACAACAATAACAAGCCCCTTACGATCGGAAGATACAATTTCTTCTTATCCCCTGACCATTTCGGGCCGACAAAAATGCTGGTGTCGATTGTTCAAAAGTTGAAAAAACTGGGTGCCGATTGCTCAAAAGCTTAACAACGGGGGTCGATGGCTCAGAATCCGAAAGAGAGGGTTGAAGCCTAAACCCAAAACCCTAAACCCTAAAACCCTTAACCCGAAAAGCCCTGAACCCTAAACCCTAAACCCTAAACCCTAAACCCTAAACCCTAAACCCTCAACCCTAAACCTTACATGCAACATCCCTCAAGCCCATGGCTCCCAAGCCTCTCAGGCCCAAACCCGAAGCCTGCAACCGAGGCGTCTTCGTTAGGTGCAAGGAAGAGTGGTCGAAGCTGCTAAACCCTAAACCCTAAACCCTAAACCCTAAACCCTAAACCCTAAACCCTAAACCCTAAACCCGAAACCCTAGGTTCAAGAGTTCTGGGTGTTTCGGGGTTTATGGTGTTTAGGGGTTTTGGGGTGTTTAGGGGTTTGTTTGGGGGTTTTGGATTCTTAGGGGTTTTGGAGGCTTATCTCTGGGTTTAGGGGTTTAGGGGGGGTTTAGGGTTTAGGGTTTAGGGTTTAGGGTTTAGGGGTGAGGGGTTCCTGAGGTTCCGAAGTATGAGATCCACTACATCGACAAGGAGGTGATCAAGCACCAGGTCGAGTATGTGGAGAAGCTTGTGGAGGCGCTTGGGAGGACCCCCTCTAGGGTTTAGGGTTTAGGGTTTAGGGTTTAGGGTTTAGCTAGTGTAGGGCTGAGCTTTGCTATCTTCCACCCCATCTACCAGCGCCACCCTAGCAACCCAAGAGATTCAAACCCCAAACCCTTATGCTTGTACTTTATACTCACCCCCAAACCCCTAGCCCTAAACCCTAAACCCTACACCCTAAACCCTAAACCCCAAGCTCCTCCAACCCCTAAGCCCCCAAAGTCCCGAACCCAGGTGCCGCACGTGGTCTACGAGGAGCGCATCATCGAGGTGCCCCAGGCCTGCCAGCAACCCTGCGTGGTAGGCTTTCCGAAACATAGGGCTTAGGGTTTGGAGCTGCCCTTTTTTGGGGGGTACCTGTTTAGGGTTCAGGGTTCAAGGTTTAGGGTTCAGGGTTTCGGGGTTTAGGGTTTAGGGTTTAGGATTTAGGTTCAGTGTTCAAGCCCTCAGAAAGTCCATCTCATGTGCTGGCAGGGGCAGTTCTTTGTTAGGACTGATGCAGGGGACGGTGTGGTGCTCCACCACCCCAACCCCCCCGGAATCCTACGGAGGTGGAGAGGCGCGAGCTCATCCGCCACGTGCCCGTGAGCAACGCCCCGGCCTCAGGCTTCCAGTGCTGCAGGACCTACTCGTGCCTAGGGTTTAGGGTTTTGGGTTCAGGGTTTAGGGTTTAGGGAATGGGGTTTAGGGTTTAGGGTTAGGGTTTAGGGTTCACGGTTAGGGTTCAGGGTTTAGGGTGCCCTGAAGCCTCAACTCCTTCATGAACCCTCCCTAAACCCCGTCCCGAGACGCGGTTTGCTCTCAGGTGCAGATGGTGGACAAAAAGGCCGGGAGTGGGGGCGGGGCGCCTGCGATCCTGCTCAGAGGGGTGCGGGTCTAAACCCTCAACCCTCAACCCTGAACCCTAAATCCTAAACCCTAAGCCCTAAAGCCTAAACCCTAAACCCTAAACCCTAAACCTTAAACCCCAAACCCTAAACCCTAACCCCTACACCCGAAAGGTTCCCAAGCACACGCTCAAAGTCACGGAGAAGGTCGTGGAAGTGCCCACAGCAGGGCTCTCGGCACCCGACTCGCCAACTGGCTTCGCCGTTCCCCGAGCCCTGAGAGCCCCAAACAGCAAAAACAAACCAATAAATTAGGTGGTAAGGGTTTCCCTAAACCCTAAACCCTAAACCCTAAACCCTAAACCCTAAATCCTTAACCCTTAAACCCCAAACCCCTAAACCCTAAGCCCTAAGGCCCTAAACCTGAAGCCCTAAACCCTAAACCCTAAACCCTGAACCCTACACGACCCCATTCACAAGGTCTGTTAAACAATAAATCCCTCAACCTCGAACCCAAAAGCCCCTAAAGCCCCTCAACCCTAAACCCTAAGCCCCCGCAGAGTTACTGCAAGGTCCTGCACCACGAGAAGAAACCCTAAAACCCTAAAACCCTAAAACCCTAAAACCCTAAAACCCTAAAACCCTAAAACCCTAAAACCCTAAAACCCTAAAACCCTAAAACCCTAAAACCCTAAAACCCTAAAACCCTCAAGCCCTCAAGCCCTCAAGCCCTAAAACCCTAAAACCCTAAAACCCTAAACCCTAAACCCTAAACCCTAAACCCTGAACCCGAAACCCTAAACCCTAAACCCTAAACCCTGAACCCCCCAAACCCTTAAACCCACATTGCAAGGTCCTGCACCACGAGAAGCCGATCGAGGTGCCCGAGGTCGCGGTCGTGGAGACCATCACCGAGGCTTTGGGGTGGGTCGGGCAGGGTGGGCCCGCTGAACCTAGGGGGGTTTAGGGTTTAGGGTTTAGGGTTTAGGGTTTAGGGTTTAGGGAAACCCTTACCCCTTAACCCTAAAACCCCAAAACCATAGCCTCATTGCACAGCTGCTCGTCTGCCAGGTGCCGAAGGTGATGGTGAACTCTATCCCGGTGGAGGTGCCCAAGGCTGCTGCTTCTGTGCTTATAGGCCTAAACCCTAAACCCTAGACTCTAAACCCTAAACCCTAAACCCTAAACCCTGAACCCTGAACCCTAAACCCTAAACCCTAAACCCTAAACTCTAAACCCTAAACCATTCCCAAGTCGAACAGGTTGTCAACGTCCAGATCCAGGAGCGGCTAGAGGAGGCGTGGGCCACACCATCGTGAGGACTTGAGAGTTCTTCGTCGGGAACTTCGGTTTAGGGTTCAGGGCCTAAAACCCTAAACCCTAAACCCTAAACCCTAAACCCTAAACCCTAAACCCTAAACCCTAAACCCTAAACCCTGAACCCATAAGCCCTAAAGCCTAAACCCTGAACCCATAAGCCCTGAGCCCTCAATCCTGAACCTTACTTAGCCCCAAACCCGTGGTTCTGAGTAGGGAAAGGAGGGAGTTAGGGCCCTAAAAATCCCCTTTTAAGGGCTTCCATAGGGTACCTCACCCCTCATTCCCTACTCAGAACTAGGGGTTACCCTAAACCCTAAACCCTAAACCCTAAACCCTAAACCCTAAACCCTAAACTCTAAACCCTAAACCCTAAACCCTAAACCCTAAACCCTAAACCCTAAACCCTGAACCCTTAACCCTAAACCCTAAACCGCCTGAAACCCTTGGGCCAAACCCTTTGCTCTGAATCCGAAGCCAGGTTCGAGCCACGCTGATCGCCGAAAGGGCTGTGGAGGTGCCGGACCTCGGCTAGGGTTCGGGGTTTAGGGTTTAGGGTTTAGGGTTTAGGGTTTAGGGTTTAGGGTTTAGGGTTTAGGGTTAGGGTTTAGGGTAAGAAGATTGTAAGTACCCCCTCCCCTTTTCCCAAGAGGCCCCGCCACATTTCCAGTTATTTCGCTTAAGAGGATCATTTTGAGGACTTCTTTTTTAGAGGGTTGCCAGGGGCCAAGCAACGCCCTAAGCCCTAAACCCTAAAACCCCAAACAACCCTAAACCCGAAACCCAAAGTGCCTGGAACGCTAAACCCCCTGAAATTGTAAAGCTTCTAAACGCAAAACCCTCAACCCTAACCCCTAAACCCCAAACCCTAAACCATAAACGCTGAAACCCTAAACCCTAAACCCTAAACCCTAAACCCTAAACCCTAAACCCTAAACCCTAAACCCTAAACCCTAAACCCTAAACCCTAAACCCTAAACCTGAAGCCCTAAACCCTAAACCCTAAACCCTAAACCCTAAACCCTAAAGCCCAAAAGCCCAAAAGCTGAGTCAGCAGGTGCCAGACCCTCAGGTGGTCGAGGCGATCACTCAGGCAGGATGTGGGCCAGTCTCGGGCTTAGGGTTCAGGATTTAGGGTTAGGGTTTAGGGTTTAGGGTTTAGGGTTTGGGGTTTGGGGTTTAGGGTTTAGGGTTTAGGGTTTAGGGTTTAGGGTTTAGGGTTTAGGGTTTAGGGTTTTAAGGTTTTAAGGCTTAGTGTTGCTGACTTTCACCATGATAGGGTGTAGGGTTTAGGATTTAGGGTTTCGGGTTTAGGGTTTAGGGTTTAGGGCTTGGGGTTTTGGTTCTGGGGGGATTTAGGGTTCGATTTGGGTCAAGGCTGCGGGCCTTGCGGATTTGCGGGGTCGGCCGGGCTTTGAATTTGGGCTTTAGGGTTTGTATGCCTTTTGGGTCTCAGGGCTTTCGGGGGTTGTAGTCCTAAACCCTAAACCGTGAATCCTAAACCCTAAGCCCTAAACCCTTAGTTTCTTTGGGAGGCCAGCTTTGCCGGGCTCTTGGGGTAGTTCTGAGTCATGGACTCTGTCTGGCTACCCTCCTTAAACCCTAAACCCTGAAGCCCTGCTTGTATTGCTCCGTATCAATCGGAACCTCTGAATCAAGTTGAGTCAAGTGAACTGCCCCAATAACCCAGTAACCCAAGGTCAGAACTCAGCTGCGGACCTTCCAATCAAGCCCCACACCCCCCCAGGCCACAGAAAGGCCTGAATCCTAAACCCCGAACCCTAAAAAACCCTGAGCCGTAACCCCTAAACCTTACACCCTCAACCCTAAACACTAAACCCTAACTCCTAAACCCTAAGAAAACGCCAAAGCCTTGTACACTAAACTCCATACCTCAGTGTTCCGGAGGTGGTTCAGCCCATCGTTCAGTACGTGGATAAGGCCCGGTCTACCCATTTAGCTGTGCATGTTTAGGTGACAGGGTTGACCCCAAACCCTAAACCCTAAACCCTAAACCCTCAACCCTAAACCCTAAATCCGAAACCCTAAACCCTAAACCCGAAACCCTAAACTCTAAACCCTAAACCCTAAGCCCTAAACCCTAAACCCGTAGAGCTTTGGGGGTTTGGGGTTTCGGGGTTCGAAGTCGAGTTGAGGCCTTCAGGCTCTAGAGAGGGGGGGGGGCTCGGGGGCTCCTGTGCAAAGCCCCCTGCGGTTCGAAGCCGCTAAGGCCCCGAGCCCTGGAAGAATGTAACTCGAAGCCCCAAACCTCCAAAGCTCTGTTTGGGGCTTAGGGTTTAGGGTTTGGGGTTTAGGGTTTAGGGCTTTGGAGTGCTCGAAGCCCTAGGCCCCAAGACCTCTCCCAGCGCCGAAGCCGAAGGCACTTGGTGAAGTCTTAAGCAAAATTGGCCTCCCAAAGCACCTAAGGGTTTAGGGTTTAGGGTTTAGGGTTTAGGGTTTTACGCTGTAAATCTCAAGGGTTTCAGGTGTGGGCTCGTACTTTTGTGTCCATAGGCCCTTGTAAAACCTCTGCGTAGATTCCTTTCTTTTGATACTCCCTAAACCCTAAACGGTAAGCACAAAACCCAAGCACTAAACCCTAAACCCTAAACCCTAAACCCTAAACCCTAAACCCTAAACCCTAAACCCTAAACCCTAAACCCTAAACCCTAAACCCTAAACCCTAAACCCTAAACCCTAAACCCTAAACCCTAAACCCTAAACCCTAAAATCTGAAACCCTGAAACCCCTAAACCCTGAAACCCTAAACCCTGAGACCCTGAGACCCTAAACCCTGAAACCCTGAAACCCTAAACCCTAAACCCTAAACCCTAAAACCCTAAACCCTGAAACCCTGAAACCCTGAAACCCTGAAACCCTGAAACCCTGAAACCTGAAACCCTGAAACCCTGAAACCCTGAAACCCTGAAACCCTGAAACCCTGAAACCCTGAAACCCTGAAACCCTGAAACCCTGAAACCCTGAAACCCTAAACCCTAAACCCTAAACCCTAAACCCCTCCGCCTGGAAGCCGAGAGGAAGTGCCCCGCGTCGTGACGGAGCCAGTGGAGCGACTCCAGGAAGTCTGGCAGAGGCCAGGGCAAAGGGTTCTAGGGTTTAGGGATGTTTAGGGTTTAGGGTTTAGGGTTTGGGGTTTAGGGTTTAGGGTTTAGGGTTTAGGCTTTAGGCTTTAGGGTTTAGGGTTAGGGCTCAGGGCTTAGGGTTTAGGGTTACATGCCTGGACCACAGGTTTAGGTTTCGAACTCTTTCAGCAAGCCCCTCGACCATCCCGGGCTTAGGGCTCAGGCCTTTCCAAGACCCTAGAAGCCAGTCGTACCCTAAATCCACCGAAGTCCAACCCAAAGCCCTGAACAACAACCCTAAACCGAGAACTCTAAGCCCTAAGCCCGAAACCCTAAAGAGGTTTAAGGCTGAATCTTCAAAGCCCCGAAATGCCTGGTCATGGAGATTGATACGATTCTTATCTCTGAGAGAAGCAGGCTACCAGTCATGAGCATGCTGACATGGGATGTATGGGATGCATGAGATCAGGGCTTAGGATTTAGGGCCTAGGGTTTTCGCGTTTTCGGGTTAGGGTTTTTGGGGTCAAACACTCCAACCCAGCGCGTGGATGAGCTGAAAATGACACGCTAACCCCCTCAAGCCCTAAACCCTAAACCCTAAACCTTACACCCTAAACCCTAAACCCGAAACCCTAAACCCTAAACCCTAAACCCTAAACCCTAAACCCTAAACCCGAAACCCCAAGCCCCAAGGCCGCTGGTGGAGGAGGTGGCGGTGCCGGTGGATCAGGTGCTCACCTACGAGGCGACGGGCCGGCCTCCATCAAAGGCTTTTGATTGGTGGTACCCCTGAAACCCCTGAAGGTTTCCCTCAGTATACTCCGAATATGGCCCTTATCTTCCCTTGGAGGATCTTCAACAAGGAGCCCAAACCCAAGGGTACAACCTTGGGGGTCCAAGGCAGAATCTCTCATGATTTTGGTGTTGATGTTTCAGGGTTCACATTGAGGGGTTAGGGCTTGGGGTTTAGGGTTTGCTAGGGCTTGGGATTTTCTAAGCACGAAAACCCCGCCAGAGGCGGGTCGCAGCGTAGTCGCCAGGCACACCCTTCTAAGGGAAAGTTGCGTTTACTTCCTGGGGGGCTGCATTTTGCCACCCCCCCCCAGGTTCAGCTGCTTACTCATAGGGCTTTCGGATTTAGGGTACGGAAAGCCGGGTCACTTCTCTTAACGCTTGACAGGCCCTCTTAGTCCTGAGCCCACTCTCTTGGGGCACCCGACATACGGGGATCTGCATGATACCAGTGGCCAGAATTTTGGAGAGCTGACCGAACTTTGCAGGCTAAACCCTACCCATAAAAAAAAGGAAAAACTCGAAAACAAACAGAAATCCTGTACATAAGCTCAAACCCTAAACACCCTAAACCCTAAACCGTAAACCGTAAACCCTAAACCCTAAACCCTCCACCCCACCTGAAACCCTACAACCCCGAAACATGCACTGTTGGAGGCCGTGCGCCAGGAGGCGTCGCAGGTCGTCCACGAGGCGTTGAAGCCGGTACCCAAGGCCCACCGAAAGGGGGGGGGGGAACTCCCCGTTTACACCCTAGACCCCACGTAGCCCTCAGCTCTAAACCCTAAGCCCTCAACCCTAAACCCTTAATGCCCCAAGCCCGAAAGCCCTAAGCCCTAAACCCAGCAGGGGGAGGGGAACTGCACCCTAAGCCTTATAAGCCCTCAGCCCTCAACCCGACAGCCTTCTGGATGGGGGAAGCCAAAGAGCCGGTCTTGGGGGGGTACTTTCTCTTAAGGGCCGTCTCCATTTAGAGCTTTAGTAGCTGGAGGAGTTTTGGTTGAAGGCCTGCGTAGATGTGAAATTAGAGCTTATCAAGCCATCACCAAACCCTAAACCCTAAACCCTAAACCCTAAACCCTAAACCCTAAACCCTAAATCCTAAACCCTAAACCCTAGATTTAGGGCCCCATGCCCGGACCCTCAGAGCGTATGAGTGCAGAGCTGCTGCAGACAATGGTTCAATCCAATCTTCACGCATGCTTCAAGCGACAGCGCAGCAACACGTCGTTCCCAGTATGGCCAGTCCGAACAGTGGGCTGCATTTGGGCTTTATAGTCCCGATACTTGAGTGCAGGGCTTATCGTGTGACACAGCGTTAGCAGGTTTTCAGTCTAGGCTTCTGGATTTCACTCATTTATGTAAGCAATATAGAACAAATAATATTGAGGAATTAATATTACTACATTGTATATTAAATAATAAAGGGCCCATTTGAGGGTGTAGGTGTCTCCCAAAGATGCTGTGCCTGCGGACGGCGCGCAGCGCGTGCCAGGCCCTCCCAGCGAAAGGCCGGAAGCCCGCGGAAGCCCGAAGCACCGTGAATTCGAAACCCTGAACCCTGAACCCTAAACCCTAAACCCTAAACCCTAAACCCTAAACCCTTAACCCTAACCCCTAAACCACAAACCCCGAACCCTGACACTTTATTCCCCAAACAGTGTCTTTGTGGGTTCCAACGTCGAAGGAGAAGGGTTAGGTTGCCAAGCGGGCACGGTGCATGAGGCTCAGTTGCACGGCTGAGCTCTCTCTAGAGTTTGGGGTTTAGGGGTTTCGGGGGTTGCAGGTTCCTCCGCGCACCATATTATGCGTTCCGTGCTCCGTCCAGTGTTCTGTTTCGGGCTTGCATCGCTCCGTCTCGCTAAAACGCGGCTGGGACGCTTCGTGCGTCCGTGTTAGGGGGACCTGTGTTTCCCAAATCGTGCTCTCGCCTTGGTTCCGTGCGAATGCTCCTTGTGAAGTGCAGAACTGTCGTTCTTCGGGGGCCTGAATTTTACTCCCGCGAGTGACATTCACAACAGAGCCCCTCATCTGCATGATTCGGCATGCAAGCTTTACGACATGCGCAGAACATGCAGCTGTCAGGGTAGTGCTTCAGCTGTTTGAATTGCTTGAGGATGATGTTGAGCCCAGCATCCTAGGGAAGACGCCAGAGCCGAAGCCCCCAATCTCGAAACTCCAAACCCTAAACCCTAAACCCGAAACCCGAAACCCTAAACCCCAAACCCTAAACCCTAAACCCCAAACCCTATACCCTAAACCCCAAACCCTAAACCCTAAACCCTACCTCGGCGATTGCGAGGCCTGGCGCGGCCATGCCTACTGGCTCCGGCCCTGCGCAGGATGTCGACGCCAGCCACAACTGGCACGTCGACGGTGCGCTGGCCCAGTGTTCGGCTGGTTTTGGTCCCATGGTTTAGGGTTTCGGGGTTGAATGAGGTTCAGGGTTTAGTTGGGCTTTAAGGTTTTGACCAGGTTTTTTGGGGTTCAGGGTTCAGGGTTCAGGGTTCAGGGTTCATTAGGGTTGAACGAGGGTTTAGGGTTTACGGTTTAGCTGGGGTTTAGGTTTTAGTTCGGTCTTAGGGGTTCAGGGTTCAGGTTCAGGGTTTAGGGTTTAGATGGGTTTAGGGTTCAGGGTTTTAGGGTTTAGGGTTCATGAGCTACCAGTGTCAGCAGGCATGGTGCCATTGAGCTGCGGGGCCCGGGTCGTAGTTTCAGCGGAAGTGGACCTACATGAAGCTTCGGATGAGAGAGTTTAGGGTTTAGGGTTTAGGGTTTAGGGTGTAGGGTGTAGGGTTTTAGGGTCTAGGGTTTAGGGGCTCTTTCGGTGATGATGAGGTCGAGTCAAAGGACGACAGCGACGCCTCGCTTGACGTCCACCGGAAAAGGCCACTGGAAATGCCTGGGATGCAGGAACCTCGCAGCCCCCCCCCCCCCCTACTTGGAGGTTCCTGGTACTTGGTAACCCAATCATGACTGTAACTACTTATAACATACTTATAACCCAAGTATAACCCTATTAGGGTGCTTAAGGGGCTTCTAAGTTAAGCGCGATAGAACTGCACTTACGATTGGTTTCTAAGTGCCCTGAACCTCCAAGTAGAGCCCTCCACTCAGGAGGGTATGTAGACTCCGAAGCCCAAAAAGCCCCCAGATGTGACCTAAACCCGAAGCCTTAAACCTTATTGCCCTACACCCTAAACCCTAAACCCAAAACCCTAAACCTAAACCCTCCGCCCCAAACCCCCTGCTTCGGAAAGCAGACCATAAGCATCAAGCCTCAACCCCACCATAGCCCTTGAGCCCACCATGGCCACACCGCGCGGCACTGTAGCGCCGACTCACAGAACCCCTGAACCCTTGAAATCCCCCTTCAACTTAGGGTTTAGGGTTTAGGGTTTAGGGTGTAGGGTTTAGGGTTTAGTCTTAGGGCTTAGGGTTGGGGGACATCCTGAAACTCAAACCCCTAAACCCTACATCCTAAAACCTCACCTAACACTCCACACTCCAAAACTCCCTCCCCGCCCCCACCCCCCCCCCCCCCTGCGCCCAAAACCCAAAACCCAAACCCTAAACCCTAAACCCAAAACCCTAAACCCTAAACCCTAAACCCTAAACCCGAACCCCTAAACCCGAACCCCTAAACCCTAAATAAGAGGGCTTCGTGCAGGCCGGTGCCACCCCTGAGCTTTGAGAAGGAGACCGGCAGAACGGGGTTTAGGGGTTTAGGGTTTAGGGTTTAGGGTTTGGGGTTTAGGGGTTTAGGGGTTTAGGGGTTTAGGGGTTTAGGGGTTTTGGGGTTTTGGGGTTTTGGGGTTTTGGGGTTTTGGGGGTTTTGGGGTTTTGGGGCTTTGGGGTTTTGGGGTTTTGGGGTTTTGGGGTTTTGGGGTTTTGGGGGTTTTGGGGGTTTTGGGGGTTCTGACGTTTTTTTTTTGGGTCTCCAGGGCCTGACGTCCCAGTTCTACAGCGTCGGTATGCGTCTTTGCAACTTCATGGGCCAGCTTGGAGTTGGGTTTGTAGGGTTTTTAGGTTTATACATACATTTTTTGGGTTTGCGAGGTTTTGAGTGTTTTTAGGGTTTTAGGTTTTTTTGGGTTTTTAGGGTTTCGTGGAGTTGCCTTGTATGCTTTGCATAGGCCCCCCCAAAAAAAAGCCGAAACAAAACACATCTGCAACATTGCGTTTTTTTTTGGGGTCTCGTTCTTGTGTGGGTTTTGGGGCTTTTGTTTTCGGCGAAGGTCTTTGGGCATCTTTATGTTCGAAGGGCTTCGGGACCTCTGGTTCAGCGTGTCAGGTTTAGGGTTTAGGGTTTAGGGTTTAGGGTTTAGGGTTTAGGGTTTAGGGTTTAGGGTTTAGGGCTAAGGGTTTAGGGTTTAGGGTTTAGGGTTTAGGGTTTAGGGTTTAGGGGTTCTGGCAGCTTGCGGGTCCACCTGTGGCTGCCCGGAACCATCTTTTGTGGAGTAGAGTGATGGCTCGGGTCAGAAATAGGGAGCCCGCAAGAAGGCACTTACAAGGAGATAAGAGCCCGAAACCCGAAACCCGAAACCCTAAACCTGAACCCCAAACCCTAAACCCTAAACCCTAAACCCTAGACCCCAAACCTCTCGATACATCCGAACATGCTGGGGCTCAGGGTTGTCCACAGGAGACCCTGATCTTCCAGTCCGACGTGGACATGCAGGAGGCTGCAGGGGGTGCAAAAGCTGCCAGTGATAAACTTAGGGTCCCTGAAAGAAGGGGTTAGGGTTTAGGAGCTAGGAAGCAGGGTTTAGGGTTCAGGGTCCCTAAACGAAGGGCTTCGGGTTTAGGGTTTAGGGCCTAGTCTGAGGGATCCTTTGCGTAAAGGGGGACGGGCGCCCCACCTGCAGTTGGCCGAAAGTCCTAATTGCCTGTGCCCCTACAAACCCTCAAACCCCTAGGGTTTAGGGTTTGGGGTTTAAAGCCCAAGTCCCTCGAACTTCGCCCCTCCCAGATTGTGGCCATGTCTCGCTGCACCTTGCCGGCGTCTGTGGGGTTTGGGGCTGCATTTGGGGGTTTGGGGTTTAGGGTTTAGGGTTTCGGGTTTCGGGTACGGAAAATGAGGTGCCCCTTCTTGGAGGTTCAGGGTACTTGTACCCCCAATTATGACTGTAATTACACGCCCCCCAAGTCCCCTAAGTAGGTGATAAGTAGATCTATCATTGTGGTTATGATTACCCATGAGCCTCCAAGTAACATAGTCCCCAAATCGTAGGATTTCCTTATCACAAGGAACCCAAGAAGGTATCCCTGATTTCGGAAACTCCCAGTTCCAGGCTGTGAAATCAGAATGTGATAGTCCTGACATTACCGTTTCTCGTTGGAGGGGGCTTATGTGATATAGCATTGGTGTTGTTGAATGCTCATGATCTTCGTTGCTAGTATACAGCCCGAGGGCCCTTGTGGAACATACTCGTCGGTTTAAAGAGGGCTCAAATAGCGGTATGGACAAGACAATAAGCCCGAAGAAGCCCGACCGACTTTTCAAGCTTTTCAGGAGTCCCGGAGGGTGCAGGCGCTTCGGATTTCGGGTTTCGGGTTTAGGGTTTAGGGGTTAGGGTTTAGGGTTTATGGTTTGCCGGGGGGTTTTGTTGGGGTCATGGATTGGGGCTCAGGGTTGTGACAGCTCGGTAGCGCCCCGGCATTCGCCTTTGTTGGCGTTCCTGGGAACTGCAGGCGGCTGAAGCGTGAGAGATCTCATAACTGACCCTGAGCCCCTCCGTCCCAGGCCCTTGGGCCCGACCCAAACCCCAAAACCCTAAACCCGAAACCCGAAACCCTAAACCCGAAACCCTAAACCCTAAACCCTAAACCCTCAACCCTAAACCCTAAACCCTACCTGGGACCCTAAACCCTAAACCCTCAAACCCTCAAGCCCTAAACCCCAAGCTTGAGCACTCCAACGCCCAGGGAAGTGCCTGCTCGGTGGCGGGCTTGGCTCCTCGGCTTGGCAAAGGTTTAGGGTTTAGGGTTTAGGGTGTAGGGTTTAGGGTTTAGGGTCGAGGGTTTAGGGTTTAGGGTCGAGGGTTTAGGGTTTAGGGTCGAGGGTTTGGGGTTTAGGGTTTAGAGTTTAGGGTTTGGGGTTTAGGGTTTGGGGTTCAGGGTTTGGGGTTAGAGTGTTGAAGGAGCTCCCAAATCAATCTAATTCTAGGGTTTAAGGTTTGGGGTCTGAGGATGTCTAGGGTTTGGGGTTTAGGGTCGTCAGGTTTAGGGTTTGGGGTTTAGGGCTAGGGTTTTAGGGCTTGAGGTTGGGTGGGGAGATTCCTGAAAGCATACTGAGCCCAATTAGATCTTACAGAAGTACGCCTGAGAGAAGGGTGCGGGGACTGCAAGGTTTGAGCTTGCTTGAAAAAAGAAGGGTTCAGGGTTTCAGGTCTTCAGGGCTTTCAGGGGTTTCAGCGTTTTAAGGGGGTCTGAGGGTTGCGGGGTGTGGATAGGGTCCTCGTCATAAACCATGCCTTGAACGGTTCCTACTTCAGCCCCTCAGCCCCTCAGCCCCTCAGCCCCTCAGCCCCTCAGCCCCTCAGCCCCCTCAACCCCTCAACCCCTCAACCCTAACTCTAAACCCTAAACCCTAAACCCTAAACCCTAAACCCTAAACCCTAAACCCTAAACCCTAAACCCTAAACCCTAAACCCTAAACCCTAAACCCTACACCCTAAACCCTAAACCCTAAACCCTAAACCCTAAAGGCCCTAAACCCTAAAGGCCCTAAACCCTAAAGGCCCTAAACCCTAAACCCTAAACCGTAAACCCTAAGCCCTAAACCCTAAACCCCTGATCCGAGGCCTCACGGGCTTCTACGCGCTCCTCGCCAGCCTCAGCCTCCACGGCAGTCTGCCTTTCGAGCTGGCCATGGTGTTCAGCGCTGGGCTCTGCGCGACCCCTTGGTCCGAAAAGTGGGGTTTAGGGTTTAGGGTTGGAGGGTTTAGGGTTTAGGGTTGGAGGGTTGGAGGGTTGGAGGGTTGAAGGTTTCGGGTTTTCTTCTTCAGGCTTTGGGGGTTTGAGGTTTTGTGGGTTTAGGGTAGGTTGCCTACTTCCGTGGTTCCCGATGCACTCCCCACTAGAACCTAGTAGTAGAGTAGGTAACCTTGAACCTTTTTGGGGTAGTATAATCCCCTTATAATCCCAAAGGTTAGCCTTTAATTCCCCCAGGTTACTGGACAGCTAAGAGAAACCCTAAACCCTAAACCCTAAACCCTAAACCCTAAACCCTAAACCCTAAACCCTAAACCCTCTCTTACTATGTATATTTAAACCCTAATGACCTTCGTCGGCATATTGTTTTTTTTCCCCGGGCGGGGGCCCTAAACCCTGACGCCCTTCGTCGGCATATTGTTTTTTTTCCCGGGCGGGGGCCCTAAACCCTGATGCCCTTCGTCGGCATATTGTTTTTTTTCCCCGGGCGGGGGCCCTAAACCCTGAAGCCCTTCGTCGGCATATTGTTTTTTTTTCCCCGGGCGGGGGCCCTAAACCCTGACGCCCTTCGTCGGCATGTTGTTTTTTTTCCCCGGGCGGGGGCCCTAAACCCTGACGCCCTTCGTCGGCATATTGTTTTTTTTCCCCGGGCGGGGGCCCTAAACCCTGACGCCCTTCGTCGGCATATTGTTTTTTTTCCCCGGGCGGGGGCCCTAAACCCTGACGCCCTTCGTCGGCATGTTGTTTTTTTTCCCCCCCTAAACCCTGACGCCCTTCGTCGGCATATTGTTTTTTTCCCCCGGGCGGGGGCCCTAAACCCTGACGCCCTTCGTCGGCATGTTGTTTTTTTTCCCTGGGCGGGGGCGCTAAACCCTGACGCCCTTCGTCGGCATATTGTTTTTTTTCCCCGGGCCGGGGCCCTAAACCCTGACGCCCTTCGTCGGCATATTGTTTTTTTTCCCCGGGCGGGGGCCCTAAACCCTGACGCCCTTCGTCGGCATATTGTTTTTTTTCCCCCGGCGGGGGCCCCAAACCCTGACGCCCTTCGTCGGCATATTGTTTTTTTCCTGGGCGGGGGCCCTAAACCCTGACGCACCCCCCCCCCCCCCCCCCCCCCCCCCCCCCCCCCCCCCCCCCCCCCCCCCCCCCCACCCACCCCCCCACCCCACGCCGTTCCCACCCCACAACCCTCCCTATTCCCATTCAGCAGAGGTTTGATTTCGGTTTTGGGTCAACTGGACCTTGAGCTTTAAGCCTACTGGGAATGTATTGAGTGAACTTTGTATTTTCTCAATGTTATGGGTTTCCTGGGTGGGTGGGGTTTTATTCCAATGCTTGACAAGCTGCTTGACTAGCAAATGCTCGGACTTGAGATGCTGAACCCTAAACCCTAAACCCTAAACCCTAAACCCTAAAACCCCAAACCCTAAACCCTAAACCCTAAAACCCTAGAACCAGCAACTTCAGGAATGCCTACGCCCACTTCGTCACGGCGCAGAAGCTGATCCGGAAGCTGGCAGCGAGACACTTGGCAGCCCAGTGGTACCCTTTACCCTTTTTTTGGGGGTTTTAGGGTTTAGGGTTTCGGGTTTAGGGTTTACCTTATCATAATATGGTTACTGGGCTGCTAAGGACATGTAGATCAGCTCTGGGTGATGCCCCTGGAAGCGAAGGAGAAGCCGCAGGACTGCTGCAGGGCCTTAGGGCTTTAGGGCTTTAGGGCTTTAGGGCTTTTGGGGTTTAGGGTTTAGGGTTTAGGGTTTGGGGCATAGGGCTTGGGAGTGTGGGGTTTGGTGACCCCAGCTTGGATCCCTGAAGCCTAAACTAAGCCGTAAACATGAAGGGTTTCGGGTTTTAGGAGTTTAGGAGTTTTGGAGTTTAGGGGTTAGGGTTTAGGGACGGGTTTAGGGTTTAGGGTTTAGGGTGCCAAGGCTAAACCCTAAACCGTAAACCCTAAACCCTAAACCCCTTTTGGCGCTTCAGAGGTGTCAGTGTTGTGTTTGGGGCCGGAGCCCATATTGGGATTTGTGCCGTGTTGGTGAGCTCTCGTGAAGTGCGTCCTGCCTCGATCTGGCCTAAGCCCTCCAGCCCTCCCAACACAAATGTTGGGGGTTTAGGGTTTAGGGTTTAGGGTTTGGGGTTTGGGGTTAGGGTTTAGGGTTTGGGGTTTGGGGTTTGGGGTTTTGAGGTTTCGGTGTCTGCAAAGCCCGACATTGCGGCATACGTTTGCAACGACGACAGCCCTACCCTGTACAGATGCATCAGGATTTGGCCGGGGCTGTTGTGTTCGCTCTGGTGTTAACTTCAACTGCTGGCTACAGCTGATCCCCCCGAGCATCCGAAGGCCCTAAACTCTACATCAAATACCCTAGACCCTAAACCCTAAACCCTAAACCCTAAACCCTAAACCCCAAACCCCAAACCCCAAACCCTAAACCCGTCTGAGGAGAAGGGGGGTGCCCACTCACTGCTCCTCGAGACCGCCAGCACCGAGGAGCTCCGAAAACACGAGGGTCCAAAGCATCGCGGAATCCCCACGAAAGGCCCCGAAACTCTAAAGCCTAAAGCCTAAAGCCTAAACCCGAACCCAAAACCCTAAACCCTAAACCCTAAACCCTAAACCCTAAACCCTAAACCCTAAACCCTAAACCCTAAACCCTAAACCCTAAACCCTAAACCCTACTAAACCCTAAACCCTAACCCCCTAGCAAGAGACCCCTAAGATTCGGACAGCCCGCAAGGGACCCCACCTTCAGGGCCCATACTTGGGAACCCTCGAGGTTGAGGGTTTCGGGTTCAGGGTTTCGGGTTCAGGGTTGAGGGTTTCGGGTTTCGGGTTTGGGGTTTAGCAGTTTAGGGTTTAGGGTTTGGCGTTTAGGGTTTCGGATTTCGGGTTTAGGGTTTGGGGTTTAGGGTTTAGGGTCCCACGCAGGAGCGCCTTGCGGCGACGCCCTCGCTGGACCTCCGACGCCTGGCTTTCCTTGGGCAGCGTTGAGCTGTCCAAACCCTAAACCCTCACACCCTAAAACCCTAAACCCTAAAAACCCTAAACCCTAAACCCTAAACCCTAAACCCTAAACCCTAAACCCTAAACCCTAAACCCTAAACCCTAAACCCTAAACCCCAAACCAGGGTGTCGGCGTCATTGGAAACTCGAGGCCTCAAGACCGCCTCCTCGGAGCGCTGGCTGAGTTTGGTGGCACCTGGGCAGCTGGGAGGGTTTAGGGTTTAGGGCTTAGGGTTCAGCATCTCAAGTCCAAGCATTCACTAGTCAAGAAATGCCCGAAGAATCCCACAACATTAAGAAAATGTTTCACTTATGGAACGACCTTGCCCAGTAAAAAAATGACCTTGCCCACCTTGCCCAATAAACAAATGACCTTGCCCAATAAACAAATGACCTTGCCCAGTAAAAAAATGACCTTGCCCAGTAAAAAGATGACCTTGACCAGTAACATTTTTACTGTCATTTTTTACTGGGCAAGGTCATTTTTTTACTGGGCAAGGTCGTTTTTTGACGAAACGACCTTGCCCAGTAAAAAAATGACCTTGCCCAGTAACTCCTTAACATTTAAATTATATATGAAAGAGAGGTTTAGGGTTTACGGTTGAGGGTTTAGGGTTTAGGGTTGAGGGTTTAGGGGGACTTCTGGGGTTTAGGGTTTAGGGTTCAGGGGTTTAGGGTTTAGGGTTTAGGGTGTACGGTTTGTTGGTGTCGGGGCGAAGTTGAGCTCTCTTCCCAAAGAAACACCCTCGCGCCTTGCTGAAATCCAACTTCCGAAAACCCAGAACCCTAAACCCTAAACCCTAGACCCTAAACCCTAAACCCTAAACCCTAAACCCTAGACCCTAAACCCTAAACCCTAAACCCTAAACCCTAAACCCTACGTCCTCCACCCAAGGAGCCCATGGTCGACGAGTCCCTGAAGTTTAAGCTGGACGACGACTCGGCGGACTTGTCGCAGAAGGTGCTGGGCCCTTTGAGGGGTTTAGGGTTTAGCGTTTAGGGTTTAGGGTTTACGGTGGGGGTAGGGTTTCTGGGCTCTTTGATCTTCGAGGTGTTTTTGTGTGGAATGGGGGGACTTTAGGGGGTAGTTTGGGGTTTAGGGTCACTGTTTGGGGTTTAGAGTTTGGGGTTTGGGGTTTAGCGTCTCGGGGTTCATGGGTTCACAGCATCCGTAGTGCTCGTAGAGATTTTCATGGGGGTCATGGGAGCTGGGTGGAACTGGGTGGTAGTTTCATGTAGGGTTTAGGGTATATATTGCCCATCGTTAGAGATGATCGCACCCTCCTGCTTTAAAGTTTGTACAACACACACACACTGACGGATGGCTTCTACGAAGCAAGTTTGATGAAAGTGAAGCTGCCAGGCATGCCAGGCTCAGGCCATTGGTTTCAAAATCAGTTCCAAGAATCTGGTTTAACCAAGTCACCGCTAAGTTGCGCGAATCATTTCCAAGGGCCCATGTAGAGGTCAATGTGACCAAAGACTTTGATGTTTCTTGGGACTAGGATATAGATCAATGCGCTCCATGTAGGGGGTAGGCAGTGATGGCGGTGATCAACAGCTGCAATGTGCGAGCCTTATTTATGTATTTGAGTGGATAACTGTTGGAAGTGAAACTGATTCCTGACCACGGTATTGCATATTTGTATGTCTCTTTACCGCAGCACTTTGTGTGAGTTCAAGATTATATTGCACCTCTGCTTCGCAATGGCAGGCATTTGGTTTGCCAAGCCTTTGCTGTTGAGCTTGGTGGCAGCTGTGGTGTTCTTACGGCGAAACCGCCGACGACAGAGCGCATTGTGCTGTCAATGCCATGGATGTCACGAAAAAGTGTACGCACTCTGTGCCAAATGTTCGAATGGATCTTTTTATTGTCCGAGTCGCTGGAAAGCCAACAAGATCCTCGATGCGGCGCGACATCCGAAGATTGAGTACCCCGGGGCAAAAATGGGGGCATGTCAGATATGTGGCAAGTCATCAAAGAGACTGCTTCTGCCGGAGTTGTGCTCTTATCAACAATCTCCCCTAAACACTAAACACTAAACACTAAACCCTAAACCCTGAACCCTAAACCCTCTCGTATGTATATATATATATATGTAAACCTTAATGGGGAACGTGGCCATTGGCACAAAAAACCGTGGCCATTGGTACCGTGGCCATTGGCAAAAATGCCGTGGCCATTAGCAAAAAGGCCGTGGCCATTGGCAACAAACCCTTTTGCCAATGGCTACGGCTTTTTTGCCAAATGGCCACGTCCCCCGCTACAGACAGCGACTAACACCATCGCTTGGAGATGGTATGTAAGCCTAAAGAGTTGTGTTGAGCGTGAGCTGCACCTCCAGTGCCGGTGCAGTACCCCGCCTGGGGTACCCTGCCTCCCTTCTCCGATTCTCAAGTAAAAATTAAAAAACCCGTAAACCCGCCGACTTGGTCCTCCTGTTATGCTGGTCCCTGGCCCCCTGGCTGGCCTCCGGGCACCCTGAAGGACGGGGGTGGGAGGTGGGAATTTAGGGCGTTAAGCCCGAAACCCTAAAAGGAGAAAAGGTGGGTGGATGCCTGCGTAAGCAGGGGGTGGGAAAAATAGAACAACCCAACCTTACTGGTTGTGGTGGCTCCAACTTCAATATACGCCGCCGCGACGTATGCCGCCCCCTCACACCCCCTGGGTGTGTTGGGGCGCCATCTCCGCATGGCATCTACTGCCGCGGCGCGGCGGGAAGCCCTAAACCCTAAACCCTAAACCCTAAATCCTAAACCCTAAATCCTAAACCCTAAACCCTAAACCCGAAAACCCTAGCCCTAAACCTTCAGCCCTAAATCCTAAACCCTAAAAACCCGACCAAAGCCCCAAACCCGCAGGCCTCGATGCATGAGATTTTCAACCTGGGGCTGCTGGACATCGACGAGAGCGCGGGAAAATGTGGCTCGGGTCGATTTAGGGTTTAGGGTTTAGGGTTTAGGGTTTGGGGTTTAGGGTTTAGGGTTTGGGGTTTAGGGTTTAGGGTAAACCCTAAACCCTAAGCCCTGCCAGGCCACGACACGCCCCTGCTCGCGGCCCTCAAGCTCTCCAAGAAGGTCGTCGCAGAAGAGACCGCAGAGCCCCGCACCGACATCGCCCCCTTTCTTCGGGTGCCCGAGGCCACATGGAGGGAGGTTTAGGGTTTAGGGGTTAGGGGTTAGGGTTTAGGGTTTAGGGTTTAGGGTTTAGGGTTTAGGGTTTAGGGTTTAGGGTTAGGGTTAGGGCTTCGGGTTTCGGGTTTCGGGTTTCGGGTTTAGGGTTTTGGGTTTTAGAGTTTGGAGTTTAGGGTTTAGGGCTTAGTGGCAATGACGTTCTTGCTGAGCCTTCCGCGCAAGACCTCCAGGGAACCATGACATGAGCCTTCCGGGGATGCTTCAACTTGGTGCCCTGCAACTAGGCAAAGCAGAGCCCCCCCTTGAACCCCAAACCCTTCAGCCACGCGGCTTCAGCCCCAAGACCTGGGATGGCCCCCGTTTACTAAGAGTCCTTTAAGAGGGATTATAGTACCCCCTACGAAAGAGAGGGTTTAGGGTTTAGGGTTTAGGGTTTAGGGTTTAGGGTTTAGGGTTTACAGGGATTATAGGGATTATAGTACCCCCCCTTATGATAATCCCCGTTAAGGACTGTCCAGCACAAGAAATGAACATCCCAACCCAAGGCCATTGAACCGCCAAAAGCCCTTGCCCCTCTGAAAAGCCAAAAGCCATGAGCCCCCAAGTCCTGAAGAATCGGGTTTAGGGTTAAGGGTTTAGGGTTTAGGGTTTAGGATTTAGGGTTTAGGGTTTAGGGTTTAGGGTTTAGGGTTTAGGGTAGCCTTTAAATCCTAAACCCTAAACCCTAACCTTGACCCTAAAACCCCTCAGAAGCAAACAAAAGCCCAAACAAAAACCCTTCAAAAAGGCCTGCAACCCAAAGCCCCCAAAACACCGAACATTCCGAAACAAAACAAAGATTTGGGGTTTAGGGTTCCTGACAAAACCCTAAAAGACCCTAAGCCCTAAGCCCCAAACCCTAAACTCCAAACCCTAAACCCTAAACCCTAAACCCTAAACCCGAAACCCTAAACCCTAAACTCTAAACCCTAAACCCTAAACCCTAACCCTAAACCCTAAACCCTAAACCCTAAACCTTGAGAGGGTGCGCCGGCCCCGGGAGAGCGGCTGGACACCGTGGCTGCCTCGGAGGCCCTGCCTGAAGTGGGTGGGAGAACGGTTTTTCGGCCAGGGTTTAGGGTTTAGGGTTTAGGGTTTAGGGTTTAGGGTTTAGGGTTTAGGGTTTAGGGTTTAGGGTTTAGGCTTTAGGGTTTAGGGTCTAGGGTCTAGGTTCTAGGGTTTAGGGTTTAGGGTTTAGGGTTCAGCGTTTAGAGTTTAGGGTTTAGGGTTTAGGGTGCTTGAAGCTACTACACCCGTAACACTAAAACCTTGAACCTTCGATGTCTTCAGTTGCATGGCTCCTTCATATGGTCAGTTCTCAGAATCACGGTCCCTTTTTGGGTATCCTAAATATAAGGGGCCTTATACTAGTAACCCCAAAAGGGACCCTAATTTAGAGAAGTGACCATGTGATCCCCTTACCCTTCTTAAAAAGGATTCTAAATTATGAGGCCCTCAGGAAAGCTTTCCTTAAAAACCCTTGCACCCTTACCCTCAAACCCCTTAAACCCCTACTCTCCTCCACCCTTAAACCCTTAAACCCTGAAACCCTGAAACCCTTAAACCCTTAAACCCTGAAACCCTTAAGCCCTTAAACCCTTAAACCCTTAGACCCTTAAACATTTAAGCCCGTAAGCCCTTAAACCCTTAAACCCCTACTCTTACTCTCAAGCCCTTAAACACATAAAGCCCACAAGCCCGTGAGCTCCTAAACCCAGAACCTTAAACCCTTAAACCCTTAAACCCTAAACCCTAAACCCTAAACCCTAAACCCTAAACCCTTAAACACTCAAACCCATAAGCCCTTGAACCCTGGAACCGAACCAAAACCCCAAACCCTAAACCCATAAACCCATAAACCCTTAAACCCATAAGCCCTTAAGCCCTTAACCCTGGGATGTTTCCAGAACCGTAAACCCTAAACCCTAAACCCTAAACCCTAAACCCTAAACCCTAAACCCTAAACCCTAAACCCTAAACCCTAAACCCGAAACCCGAAACCCCAAACCCCAAACCCCAAACCCCAAACCCGAAACCCCAAACCCTAAACCCTAAGCCCTGAACCCTAAACCCTAAACCCCAAACCCAAACCCCAAACCCCAAACCCCAAACCCTAAACCCCAAACCCTGAACCCTAAACCCTAAACCCCAAACCCTGAGCCCTGTTTCCTAGAACCGAATGCCGTAGGTGGAGCGCGCGATCAAGGTGAAGGTGGAGACGGGCGTCGTCCCCTCCATTGAGGCCCCAAAATCCTAAGGGTTTAGGGTTTAGGGTTTTCGGTAGTTGCAGAAAAATCGTACACCGTACGCGACCCCAAAACTTTTCGCTTATTGAGGGTTTAGGTTTTTGCAGAGTTCGCGATGTTGGGGGTTGGCTCTCCGGCCGGTTTCAGATCCCTTTTTCCTCAAAGCCTCACACAATCTGTACATCGTCGTGTCGTGATTGCGAGGTGAAGATATCTCTTCAACCCTAACCCCCAAACGCTGAACCCTAAACCCTAAACCCTAACTCCGAAGCCCTTAAACCCTAAAGCCAAGATATCTCTACACCCTGTACCTCCTCTGCAGCCTCAACGCTGCACGGGGCAAGGAGTTTTAGGGTTTAGGGTGTAGGTTGGCAAGGAGTGCTAGCCCGGGACCACGTCGCCTGAGTCTTTGTGAAGTGAGCTTTGCAATGGGCACTTGAAAGCAATAAGGAGCACCTTGGGCATTGCTGTGAAAGGATCAGCAACTAGTCCCTCCCTATACAAGTGTGGTAAATAAAACGAAACGGGCATTTGATAGCATGATGCCTATTGACCCCAAAACCCGGAGCCTAAACCCTAAAACCTCAAACCCGCAACCCTAAGCCACTAAACCCCGAAACCCCCTAACCCTAAACCCTAAACCCCTAACCCTAAACCCTAAACACCAAACCCCAAACCCCCAACCCCAGACGCCCTAAACCCCGGAGAATTCGTCGAGGCCATTGGCTGGCGAGCGCAGTGGTCCGGCGCAGCGATTCTGGTGGGGTTGGGGTGCAAAGTAGAGGGGGGTCTTTTGGGTTTAGTGTTTAGGGTCCAGGGGGTTCCCCCAATTCTCAACCCTAACCCTTGTCTTGACCCCCAAAAAAACAAGGCTCAGGTTAGAGTTTTTACGTGGATCCTAAACCTAAACCCTAGATCCCGAGACCCTAGACCCCTCCTGAACGCCCCGAACCCTTCGGCTCCGACAATCCATCCAAGGCCCTGAGCTCTACGCCCTGCACCCCTAAACCCTAAACCCTAAACCCTAAACCCCAAAACCCTAAACCCTAAACCCCTCAACCCCTAAACCCTAAACCCTAAACCCCAAAACCCTAAACCCCAAACCCTAAACCCGAAACCCCTAAACCCGAAACCCCTAAACCCTAAACCCTAAACCCTAAACCCCAAACCTTAAACCCCAGAAGCCCTGCAGGTGGCCGGCTGCCTCTTCTCCGTCGGGGAGCGAGCGCGGGAGCCCAGCAGTCCAAAGAATTGTCCAGGGTTTGGGCGTTTAGGGTTTAGGGTTTAGGGTTTGGGGTTTAGGGTTTAGGGTTTAGTGCTATTTCAGGGGTTGCAGGGTTTAGGGTCTTAGGGTCTTAGGGTCTTAGGGTCTTAGGGTTTAGGGTTTAGGGTTTGGGGTTTGGGGTTGAGGGGTTAGAGACCCCAAAACCCTCCCAGAGCCCCAGGCCCGGGACAAGGACGGGACGGCCCGCTGGAACAAGCTGAAGCTTCCCTGGCAGTGAGGAGTTCCCAGAGAGCCCCGCGCACGTCAGGGACCGACCTTAAGAAAGTTTAGGGTTTAGGCTTTAGGGTTTAGGGTTTAGGGTTTAGGGTTTCGGGTTTCGGGTTTCGGGTTTAGGAATTCAAAAGAAGACGCCTCTACCTTACTTAAGGGTTCTGGGGCTCCCTGGGATTTCGAGCCACCCTGGCGAGACTTGTGCCGTTGGGCTTCGCGCTTTTCAAATTTTCAAGTTTAGGGTTTAGGGTTTAGGGTTTAGGGTTTAGGGTTTAGGGTTTAGGTTTCCATAACTTCAAGGGCACCTCCCGTACCGCCCTTACGGTTTGTGTTTTTGTTTGGTTTCGCGTCGGCTCTGAGTCCGATGGTGGCCGTGTTTCGTCGGCTGGCTAGAAAAGACCGGAAGCAAAGTATCGCTTGCGCTACGAAAAGCCGTGGGTGCGCGACTGCTTCTACATTGCAGGGGGAGAGCTTCCACCAGCCCAAGATTCGGGGATGCACCCTAAACCCTGAACCCTAAACCCTAAACCCTAAACCCTAAATCCTAAACCCTCAACCCTCAACCCTAAACTTTACACCCAGCTCAGAATGACCTGCGTTACAGTTCCTGAACTCTCCTGAACTCCTGGCAGTTCAACATGGAGTACTTCGAGAGGCGCGTGGAGGCCGCGCATCCCCGGCTTCGGGTCATCAGAACCCTGAACTCTACCCCTCAACCCTAAACCCTAAACCCTAAGCCCTAAGCCCTAAACCCTAAACCCTAAACCCTAAATCCTAAACCTTAAGCCCTAAACCCTAAACCCCAAGCCCTGACCCCAAAACCCGAAAAACTGCCGCGAAATCTCAGTGTGCGTCATGACGGACTCAGACTGCCTGCTACAAACCCGAAGCTAACTGTCAGCGAGCCCTGCTTCAGGGATTCTTCGGTTTCGGGTTTAGGGTTTAGGGTTAGGGTTTTGGGTTTAGGGTTTAGGGTCTAGGGAAGCCCCTGAAGCGGGCCCCTTCTCGCGCCAGATGCGCTCACAGCGACCTCCTGCGGGCGCCGCCGGGCTCACGCGCGGCGCTCGGGGGCCTATTGAGGGTTAGGGTTTAGGGTTTAGGGTTGAGGGTTGAGGGTTGAGGGTTGAGGGTTGAGGGTTGAGGGTTGAGGGTTGAGGGTTGAGGGTTGGGGTTGAGGTTTTGGGGTCTAGGGTCGGAAAAAACACGAATATTCATCCCCTATGGCCCCAAGACCTTATGCTAGTTATTCAGGCCACTATCTTAGGCTTGAGGGAAGATAAGGGGGGCATATGCTTAAGTAGAATGGGCATGTGTTCTTGTAGCTATCTCGGGCTGGTAGGCGGATTCTCTGGGTAACCGTCTTAAACTCCGGTGGTATCGCAACCGTGTGGGCCTTAAACTCGTCAAAAAGCCTTCGACTGAAGCCCCCGAAGAGCGGTGGCCTTCGAGACGCAAACCTAAACCCGACACCCCGCCCCAAGCCGCCGCTAGGGTTAAGTTCTTTTTTTTTGAGGTCTTTTTTGTTGGGCTTAAGGTTTTTTTTGTTGGGTTTAAGGTTTTTTTTGTTGGGTTTAAGGTTCAGGGTTTCGTTATCTAGCCCGCAGCCTTGAACGCGACGCCACCAGGCTGCCGTCCTCACCGCCGCGGTCGCGGAGCGATGGGGCCCCAGCGAGCCCTTTTTGAGGGGTTTAGGGTTTAGGGTTTAGGATTTAGGGTTTAGGGTTTAGGGTTTAGGGTTTAGGGTTTAGGATTTAGGGTTTAGGGTTTAGGGTTTAGGGTTTAGGATTTAGGGTTTAGGGTTTAGGGTGTAGGGGTTTGGGTTGGGATGTTCCCCCTTATACTAGCAGTCCTTAAGAAGGATTCTAGTGCCCCCTATGATAATCCCTATTTGAGGGCTGTTAGTGGGGTTTAGGGTTCAGGGTTTAGGGTTGAGGGTTTAGGGTTTAGGGGAAGATCCCAAGGTTGGGGGTTTCAGAGCGCCAGGCTTTGCCTGTTTCGGGCAGCTGGCCTGTGCTGGCTGCAAGCCTCCTAGAGCATAGGACCGCAAACCCTGCCGGTTAAGGGTTTAGGGTTTAGGGTTTAGGGTTTAGGGTTTAGGGTTTAGGGTTTAGGGGTTCTAAACCACACCCAAAAGGCATCTAAACCCTAAAGTCCGAAACCCGAAACGCCGGAGCTCAGGCGTCGCCGACGCGGCTCGCTCCAAGCCAGGTGACGACGCTGCAGCCCGCCCGAAGCCCAGACATCTTTTCTGGGAAGCCCTAAACCCTAAACCCTCAACCCTAAACCCTAAATCCTAAACCCGAAACCCTGAACCCTAAACCCTAAACCCTAAACCCTTGGGTTTGGGGCTTGAGTTTCGGGTTTTGGGGGCTTTGTGGCTCTGGGGATTGAGGTTTTGGGGTTTAGGGTGTTGGGGTATCAGGGTGCACTTACACGCTTTAGGGTGTTAAAGGCAAAGGTGGGATAGGTACTCAGGTTTCGGGTTTTGGGGTGAGGCGAAGGCTTTCTCCTTGAGGAGAGCCCTATCTTCTGATTAAGGACTTAGGTGGCAATTGGAAGATGGCCACAGGAGGGTGGAGGGTTTAGGGGTTTACTGTAGGGGTTTAGGGTTTACTGTAGGGGTTTAGGGTTTACTGTAGGGGTTTAGGGTTTACTGTAGCGGTTTAGGGTGCTAGGGTTTAGGATTAGGGCCCTTCTCTCTGAGCCCCCTCCCAGCATCTCTTGCACCGTTGCAGTAGTCAGACAGCCCACTGCTCCTTGATCATGCAAAATCCTTTGATTCACAAGAGGTGCCCCGTATGTAGCTGAGACCCTAAACCTTCAACCCCAAACCCTAAGCCCTTAAACCCTAAACCCCTAAACCCTAAGCCCTTAAACTAAACCCTAAACCCTAAACCCTAAACCCTAAACCCTAAACCCTAAACCCTAAACCCTGAGCCTAAACCCTAAACCCTAAACCCTAAACCCTAAACCCTAGACCCCAGACCCTAAACCCTAAACCCTACAACCCTAAACCTTCGCGTCAGGCCCGGCCCAGCTCACCCACGCGCCTGGGCCCCGCGCGGCAGCGGCTGAGCGCCAGCTCGGGGACCGCGGCGGGGCGTCCGGGAGGTGCTCCCGCAGGGCCACAAGGCCCCGTGGGGGTGGGGGGGGGAGGGCGTACTTGGGATTTCAGGTTTTTCCAAGGATTGCTTTATGTTTGTTTTTTTTTGGGGGGGGGGGGGGGGGGCGGGGCTTTTAAGGTTCCTAACGGCTTTAGAGTTTGAATTGGGGTTTTGGGGATGGGTCGGGTGCCAGGGACTTCTTGGGGTTCGTTCCAGCAGGTTGAAGACTTGCACCCTGGGTCTCCGCCCTTTAGGGTCTGTTTAGGGTCCAGATTCCAGGGATTACGTGTAGGGCTTAGGGTGTTAGATTTGTTAGATTTAGGGTTTAGGGGAGAGTCCCCTTGTGCAGTTACGCAGCGGCCGCCCCCGTCGTCCATTGAGGCACGAAGGGAGGGGCGTGGGTGCGGGCTCGCCCATCTCGCCCAGCAGTCCTCAATGCAGGAATCGGATTGAATAGGACAGCTCATGGAAAGGGACCCTATTGTGTAACTTAAAGGTGCGCTCTACTGAACTACTGGGTAGTGGGTGTCCCTGTGCATGAAATTCAGCTCTAGACCAGAGCTCAGCCGTTCGGGTAGGTCGCGGAAGTTCCGGAGATCCCGCGGATGCCTCCGTCGCCGAGTCAGGCGGGTAGTTACTAACAGTATTCCCTTATGGCCCCTATCTAACTATACGATAATCACCCCCCAAAACCCTATGCTAATTGTTGGGGCCCCCTATAGCATGTGGGACACGGTAGCGTCAGCTGTTCCCGGTCTTAGGGATCCTCCTTCTCTTGGCGGGTCTAGTGTAAAAGGGGCGGGGTGCTTCCTGGGTGGACCCTTAACTTTCTGAAGCAGCCCTCCCCCCAACCCCTAAAACCCTAAACCCAAAACCCTAACCCTCCCTCCCCCACCCCTCCCTCCGTGCCAGCAAGCAGGCTATTCCTGCGCGGCCTGCCACGGAGCAGCCGCCGTCTCCCGGCTCAGCTTAGGCGTGGCAGGTCCTTCAAGACGGCCGCCCTTAAACCCGCAACCCTGCAAGGCTCCTGAACCCCAAACCCTCCCCCGCAAACACGCCAGAACCCCTGTTAACCCCTAGAAACCTCCAGAAAACCCTTTAAGCCTCATAGAAAACCCCATATGAACTCCCATGCAAACTCACATGGCCACTTCTCAAAAATGCGGACCTTTTTGAGAGCCCGCGGCCCCTCTTCTTTAGGGTACCCAAACAGGGGCCATATGCAAATAACCCCTATATAAATCCCCAGAAACCCTATAAGCCCCAGCAAAACCCATATGAACCCCCATATAACCCTAAACCCTAAACCCTAAACCCTAAACCCTAAACCCTAAACCCTAAACCCTAAACCCTAAACCCTAAACCCTAAACCCTAAACCCTAAACCCTAAACCCTAACCCTAAACCCTAAACCCTAAACCCTAAACCCTAAACCCTAAACCCTAAACCCTAAACCCTAAACCCTAAACCCTAAACCCTAAACCCTAAACCCTAAACCCTAAACCCTAAACCCTAAACCCTAAGGGACGGAGCCGAAGGCCCGCTGCGGCCGTCTCGAGGCCCTCCAAGGCCTCCCGGATGGATTCGGCCCGGGCCCCAGAGAGCCACTCCTTGTGGTGTGTTTAGGGTTTAGGGTTTAGGGTTCAGGGTTTAGGGTTTAGGGTTTGGGGTTTGGGGTTTGGGGTTTGGGGTTTGGGGTTTGGGGTTTGGGGTTTAGGGCTGAGAGTTTGGGGTTTGAATATGCTGAGCTTGGTAGCCCAGTTGTGCCCTTTTCCCTTTCTTGGGAACAAGGTTCCCTTTTGAAGTAGCCAACCCCAACAGGGTGCCCTTATTTATGAGATAGTTCCTGGGCTACCAAGAGCACTGGGGGCATTAGAGGGGTTTAGGGTTTAGGGTTTGGGGTT